CTGGATACAGATGAACTGCTGGATAGAGATAGATACCTCCCCTCATTTCTGAGAGGGTTTTAGGACAAGGAAGTGTTCTCTGCGCTGCCCCAATGCGTGTTGGCGAACTTCACATGTCTTCGAAATATTTTTTTTCTTATTCCTCAGACATGCAGGTTTCCTCACGATGTTTTCCTTCACCGCCGAGCACGTGGTAAATCAGCTCTTAAAATTACAATTAACAATTTCATTGGTGCCGGCAGGAATTGAACCCGCGTTACTCGCGTTCTGTTATATTCAGCGAGCGCTAACCATCTGAGCTACCACGGTTCTTGCAGTAAGTAGTATGCTTGGATTAAATTTTGATTTTATTAATTACAGGTTCCCAAGCAGTTGGTATTACCCAGCCTCATTCTCTACTGAAATTAGGTATTTCTTTTAGATAATTAAAATCCGTAAAAGTAGTTTTAATCAATATATAGTATGATGTTACGTTTAAATTAAAGTGACAAAAATTTAATCCACGTACAGTAAATTTTCTCAGGTAATACCAAACCACAATATGATTGAGGATTATTTTGATTTTCTTGATTGTCTTTAATACGAATCGCTTAGCAAAAATTCCTTCAATTAATAAGGTTTTAAGATATACAGGGCTACTTTTCTAAGAGTATCCAAAATATAAACTTATGCTCAAATATATAAATGATCTTAAACCGTTATTACAGTTTTTGGAAATACGAGTAAATAAGGCTGCAACTCCTATATGCAATTTTCCCAAAATGAGTGTGATTTATGGGCGACAACGTTTTTACTAACCGATCGACCCTTACTAATGTGTTTTGAACACGCATTTTGAAATTAAAATATAAAGGGGACAGAATATTTAAGATTTTTTAACTAATTTTTTTTAAAAACGTGACCTCCACACTAGGATTTTCTCCTGTATCGTGGGGGCAGTTTACAAACATAAATTGCATAAGGACAAACATCCAGACCCGGAACAATTATTTGTAGCCCATACAAATACTTGCTCCGTGCGGGATTGGAACCCGCGGCCCTTAGCGCTGTAACTTATCGCTAAGCCATATACGTTCTTTACTATTTGCCTTGCCCTTATTACTTATTTTCAAACTTCTCAGCAAATTAAGATCCTAAATACTTTTGGAATGTAAATATAATCTCGAAACTTCTTTAATCATAAACCTATTTCTTTCCTGTTTGTTGTTTTATAAATAATGTTACTAATATTACGATGTGGGAGAAATACTAAGAATTTCGAAGAAAAAAATATAAGTCAAAAATAAGAATTTATAGTATAATAATACCAGATGTAAAATACCCAAGAGATTCGTCTCATTTATTTTTAACTCCCAATAATATTCCAACGCCCGAAAGGGCTCTTAAAAGCACCTATGCCAACGTCCCTCCTCCCATAACCAAAGTGCCCGGCAAAACTGATGTGTTTGACGTTCTGATATCATAGTTAATAAGTAAATAAATAATTAACGTGGGCTACCTTCAAATTTTAAATGTTTATTATCTGATCTATGCGGGAGGACTTTACAGTATTTCGAAGTCTTAGTGTATGTAGTATGCTTTTAAACACGTATTATACAAATGATGCGTTTTATAAAAATAGTAAATAATTAAATTAAAGCCCCAGCGAAGTGAAAAGAACCGGCGACCTTTTACCCTTAACTGGTAACGAGGCCTTCAATGTTGATGATCAGGGATGAAAACGCATTTACATTTTGATGTTTAATCAAAGATAGATGTAGATTGTAGATTTGGCACAGCATTCACTTACCATCTGGTGAACTTCGTGCTGGTTTTTTATTTTTCTGTTATATTATATTCTGTATAATTCTATGAAATATGTATTTAAAAATATCTGGCTATACCTATCTAATACATCTTTTCAGAATGGAAAAGTTAGGTATAGAAGTTTTCAATTAGTTAATTAATAGTTTTTATTAATTTAGGAAAGCTTATCAAAGCTAAGTGACTGAATCTCTTCGTCCCGTTACATGTAGCATTGATAAATTTTCAGAACAAAACAACAAAAGTGCGTACTTGCGGCCCCATTCCCATTTTATTGTATTATCAAAAGAATAATGTTTTTTTTTTAATATTTTGATAAAAAAGGTAAGTTATTTGTAAAGGTCCGTATCGAAATCTCAAATGATTTAAACCTGTAAAAATTGTAATTCGTTGACATGAAGTATTTAAGTAAATGTGATAAAGTGAAGTAGGAACACAACAATTCTATATAGGTTGTGCTGTTGGAAATTTACGTAAGTTTTAAAAACGATTAAGTTGTAAAAACATTTCATGACGTTGCTTTAAGTCAATTGGCGGAAACCGCATCTCTGTTGCATGGCGGCAGCATTTTAGTAATTAGTAGTATATTTTTAATTATGTTTTGTTACCTAGATTAAAAATAAAGTTGGTTTTTATTTATTATAAATAACACAGATAACATTGAAGTATCTGTATTTAATATCGAAATCATTGCCTTTTCTTGAGCTGAAGGGGTACTTTTAAATACTTCCATGCTATTTAAACATAAATGAACATTTTTAAATATTTATCTCTCTGTATGTCCGGACTAAATATCTAAATGGTTGAATGGATTGTGATAACACTTTATGTATAGATAGGAGCTATATCAGGAGGGAGGATTTTGAAAAACTGACGCCACGTTAACCCAGGCGAAGCTGGGTCAGGTTGCTAGTTTATTAAAATGTTACTACTAAAAACAATAGAGAAGAGAAGATGTCACACCCCAGCACGTCCTTATCTTCATCAGCCTGCGGCAGTCCACTGCTGGGCATAGACTCCCCCAAGGCGCGCCACTTAGCCCGATCTTCGGCGTCACGCATCGAGTTGCTGCCAGCCACCTTGCGCAGATCGTTGCGCCATCTAGCCAGGGGGCGTCCCACACTACGTTTACCTAAACGCGGTATCCACTCTATGACGCGCCTACTCCAACGGTTATCGCTTCTGCGACAAATGTGACCAGCCCGATGCCACTTCAGCCTGCAAATATGGAAGGCTACGTCGGTAACCTTGGTTCTCTGGCGGATTTTTTCGTTACGAATCTTATCCACCAGAGATATTCCGAGCATAGCTCTTTCCATCGCCTGCTGGGTGACTTTGAGTTTAAGTTTGGAGTAGTTGAACCGTTAGTGTCTGCGTTTCGGTACCATATGTGACTACTAGCAGGACGCACTGGTCGAAGACTTTCGTCTTCAAGCTTTGCGGTACGGGCGACAAGAAGACCTGACGAACCTTCCCGAACGCTGCCCAGCCTAACTGAATCCGCCTATCGGCTTCTTTCTCGAAGTTATTTTTATCTATCTGCATTATCTCCTGGTAGATATACTCCTGAACAACTTCAAGAATTTCACCATCAACGATAATCGGATCTGGTATGACATGACTTTCGTCTTTTTTAAATTCATACGCAGACCGACACGTCGGGATGTCACGACATGACACGGGAGGATTTATTTAGGCTGCTCAGCATGTCTTGAAGTTCCTGCAGCGATTCTGCCATGACGAAGACATCATCGGCAAAGCGTAGGTGTGTGATGTGTTCGTAGTTTATATTGATGCCGCGTTCATTCCAGTTTAGCGTCTTGAAAACATCTTCCAGTGCGTTTGTGAACAGTTTAAGGGATAGTGTTACCCTGTCTCACTCCACGATGGAACTGGATAGGTTTTGTAAGACCACCCTATACTGGTTGCACATCGAGCTTAAATGTCTCAAGACAACTATACATCGTCAGTGAATCCGGCAACGCTGCAAGGAATTTATAACAGCCCAAGTTTCGATTGAGTCAAAGGCTTTCTCATAGTCCACAAAAGCCAGACACAGAGGCTGATTGTACTCATTCGATGAGCACGTCCCTATGTGCAATCCAATTTGGAGCTTATCACCATAAACATTTTTTTCTTAATTGCTAGTTTTTATACATCTAATGGCCAATTATTTTATCAGTCATATAAATTATAACATGACTGAATGTGAAAGTCAAATAATTGAACTATTTTATTAATACAACCTTAATATTTTATGCTGTACTTTGTTCTATAAATAATTTTTAACTGACCAATGAAAAATCCTAGGCCTAAATAAAAGGCCCTAAATCAATAAATTAGTTATACCATATTTAAATTTTGGGTTTATTTTAGCCTAGTTTGCTGAACCTGTTTTATTTTTTTATAATTTTTTGTATATTATAGTAGCAGCACTTTGTCTTTTTAGCATTTTTGAAATTCTAAATCTTCCTTAATGTTATGCGTACTCATAGAAATATTATAAATATTGAAAAAAAAAATAATAAAAAAATAATAAATATGGCACTTAATTGCTATTGAAACATATTCCTTGCAGAGATTCCAAAATTAAACCGTCCAAAGATTATATCTAACTCTAAAGGCGTATTGGTTTTTGGCAATGTTGAGAATACAATTGACAAATTCTTTTAAAAATTAAAAGATCGAACTGTTCAAGCGCTCGCGCCCAGCTAGAGCCCGCTTGACAAAACGTAGTTTTTTAAAGTCAATATGCTTATGCGTGCGATGGAAAGGGCTATGTTCGAAATATACCTATTTGCAAAATTAAGGATTAAGGAGGATTACGACTCCGTTGCCTACAAATAATTGTTCCGGGTCTGGATGTTTGTCCTTGTGAAATTTATGATGTTAACTTCCCAAACGATACAGGGAAAAATCCTTGTGAGGTATTGCATTTAAAACAAAGAAAAAATATCAACAGAAAGACAAGAGTATATATCACATAACTCAGCGGATCAGTAAGCCGAAGTGGCAATTGGCCGAGGCTCTCGACTGCGGCCTCGTATTGGCAATCGCCGTATTACCGACTCAGTGCGGGTATCGGAAATTGGGATGCGATATCGCATCAATAGCGATTTATAGAGAACATATTCCACACGTTTAAGTTCCGAAGTTTAAATGTGTATTTTGCAACTACAGAAATTTTTCTGTTTCAGTCACCGTTTCTCTGAACATCACTCTGTTGGCATGTAGTACTTTGGGACTCATTGCTTGTGTTGTTATGATTTTAGGTGTCTACAAGGTAAGTTTTGTAATTCCTATAAAATACAAATTGACATATACATATGCATAAACCATTTGGCACGATCCTGACATCTCTCTCGCCTTCTCCACATCCATATTCCCACGCATGCATGCTCGTCGGTTAAGGGTACTCCTAATTTGGCACATTTTTAATATATCGCCAATTTGGTCGATAAACTTTCACCTAGGGCGTCAATTTCTGACTCTGTTCACTTCTGCAACATAGATTTGCTTTGACACTCTTTTTTCGTTCATTCTTTTTATATGACCAAACCTCTAAAGCTTTCCTTTCTTAATCCTGGTCATAACGTCATCATGCTAACCACACTCTTCTCTTATCACACAATTTCTTAGCCTGTCACTCATATTCAGTCCTAACATACTCCTTAATGACAGCATTTCTACAGCATTTATTCTACTTATTAGCATACATTAAAGTAGGGATTAATACTTCGTGAATTGCCATACGTACCTTTTCGATACATTCTAACTTTCCACAATAGAGTGTAGAGCCCCATTTACTCTATTTCCTGCTTTCACTGGGTCTTGACGAATGGGTTGGCTCGACCGGGGAAGACCACACTCTTACAAAATACCAGCGTAAAATAGCAGCTTAATACTGCCGTGTTTCGTATGGTGAGTGTAGAGATCCGAGATCCGGAGACCCTTTTTACTGAAAACGAGGCATTCCATCTTAGTCCTCAGGGCTGACAATACATCTGCGTTTTGATTCTGAATCGAGGATGAATGTAGATACCTCTGGGCCACAGCATCCACTCACCATCAGGAGGACTGTGTGCTCGTTTGTCACCCTTATTCTATAAAAACTTTAAAAAAACCCTTGAGGTGCAGATCTGGATTTGCATTCCTATTTCCCTATTATTCCACAGATGTTAATTTGGCCTTCCTTTAGATGTTACTTACGTTGAACCACTGGGTTTTATTTACCTTTTTACTGGTACATTTTTAATATTCCAATGTTACAGTTAGTACTAACTATTGATTGCGCTTATCAATATTTAAAACAAAACAAAGAAAATTGATTTTGATTTTATTTTAGGATATGAAATTTATGTTGCTGCCATGGATCGTCGCAATGGGACTTGAAACTCTCGTAGAAGTTATCAATCTCATCTATCTATTTTATTTGCAGACTGTAAGTAATAAACATTATCAAGTAAGGTTAAGTGTTATTTTATTTAAATATTGTTTTGATATGGTTTTAGATAATGAAAGTAATTAACTACTTGATGTAAATATGATATCATATTAAATGTAATATGTTACTTGTTATTAGGATCTTGTATTTTTCATAACGTTAAGTCGTAATATCACAAAAATTTAAAATATAAAATTATGAATTTTACGTTACAAGTGACAATATGAGATTTTAGACACTAGGGATTTGATCTTGACTTTTCTATTCTATTTGTCTTTATTTTTCAATTACAATTGATCGTTCGAATAGCTGCCAATTTTGCTTGCCGATTTATTGGATGGTAAAGCAACGCTAACTTCTGGGAGTTGAAACAAAAATGTGTATTATATGAGAAAACGTAAGAGCAACATAATTTTTCTATTTTTAAGGCATCAAAACATCAAAATTAAGTATCAATTGTGATTTTAAATCAAGGTAACATTTTCTTAGTGTAATTAAAAACAATTAAAACACTAATAACTAACTTAAGAGCCTACACAACTTTAGCTCAAATTCTAATTTCGCCCCCACTTCCCCGCGCGTCGTATGCTATCTACCTACATGTTTGTAAGCCCTAAATACTGTAAGTAGATAGTTCTGTAGATACATACTTCATCACGTATACCATATGTTTGCATGTCTTTTTACGCCAACCCATTTGCTTTTTATTTTTATTACGGTTATTCCCGTTTTATATTTTACGTCGTCTTTCCCGTTGGAAAGACGAAGCAAGACAGAGCGGGGTGTCGGGCGGCAGGAAACAAGCTTCAAGACACGGATAGTTTTGTTGATTTATTTTTACGATGAAAATAATGATAATTAAAAAAAATTAAAAACATAAACTCTGCTTTACAGTTAGTTCAGTTAGTATACAAAGTTTTACGATCTAATTTGAAGTATTTCGTAAATACCAGCGATTTATTGTTCAGTTTGAGGGTAATTTTAGATTTTATTTCTATGGAGAAAATTTTATTGAATCGTGTTTTCGTCTAACATAGTACTTAACATTAACAACTTAACAATTATTAACTTTACTATATATTTATTTCAAAATTAATACTGCAGTATTTTTGGCATAACGGAGGATCATGAGAATCCGTTTGAGGTAGTATAGGCTTTATAGCTTGCGAATCTTGTTTTAAGCACGCCTTATATTGTATGCAAAACAATATGATATGGTAATAGTAAAGAGATCAAAGAAAAGATAGGGAATAGCTTATTTTAAAAGATTCAAAAAGTTTAAGATAAGATTTATTCGAAAAATCGTTATTTTTATACCCTTGTGTTCACTCAATTTAGGCTAAATTTCATCTCAATCAAGGAAAGTAAATAATTTCTCAGACACTATTGAAACTCTGAATAGATGATGAGATAGGTAGATTTATTAATTCGTATATAGAATCTCTTCCTTATTTGCCAGCTCATCAATTCTATCAAAACACCCATTAAAATAATAATTAAAATATTTGTAATAATGCAAATAAAGCAAATTCAAGAAACGTCACATAAAAGTAAAATGATATGAACGAGTAAAACGTCATCATGTATCGAATGAAACTATCTCCTAATTTGAAAAATAACTAGTTATTTGGTAATAAAAAATACATTTAATCAATTTTTAAATTTTGATTCTCGGAACTTTTGAATAAAATTAACGTTCAAATAAAAATGTAGGAACACAATTTTCTTATAAATATTTATGAGATTGTAGAAAATATACTGTATCAGAAATAACAGTCTGCAAATAAAAAATAGAGCAGTTCATTTATTCCTATATTATGTATCTACTGTTTTCTTTCTAAGCATTTTGTAATAAAGTGGTTTCAAATTATGGGATAGAACCTTCCCATGTTATTACCGGATATAATACTCTCCTCTTTTCTTTCTATTGTTTTATATCTCTTTTCAAATTCTAGCCCAAAATGTTTTCTTCATTCATTTTCTTGCCATTGTATTGTATTACATACTCGTATTTGTTATTTTTTTAATATCTCCTATTTTTGATTATATTCCTTGCCAAAAAAACTATGTTTCGCATTATAGTGACTAGGAGCAGACATCATCAGAAACTATTCGACAGGCTACGGCACCGCTTTTTAAAACGTAAAATTATTTATTAAATAAATAATTTAATGTAAATAATTTATCAGTGATTATCGGTGGATCGGTCATGGCGTTATTAATTAACTGACAACTTAAAATTAATTAAAGTCGTGATAATTTTGATCTTAGTTTTGGGGGAGTTATATTGTGGTATAGTGCAGGGGCTGTGGCTAACCAACAGGTGGTTTTTTAGCTCGTTTGACAAGCTAAGACCCGTTAGTTTTTCCCCGGGCCCCATAAAAATATTTTTATTGGTGGTTGAAAATGCAATTATTTAGAAAATGATCTTCTTCTGATTTATATGTCTTCATTCTTTTATCATTATTCTTCTATTTGTGATTAAATTATGTTATATTATTATATATTTACAAAATTCAGAAAAATGTTGCTCCCACAAAATTTTTTGTTCCAATACAACAAAGAAAATAAAGCCTACAAAAGTTAGATTTAAATTACCCTAAATAATTAGGCTATTGCCATTTCTCGGTAAAGTTACTTAAAGTAATTTATATATTTATTATTATTAATATTGTATAGTTTAAATAAATAATATTAATTGAAGAAGTTGTATATGGGTTGTATATAAAATTAACGTAAAAACAATTTACTGTCATGATGGCTTCGTCTGGTCTCTTTTATTTTAATTAAAATGTTTTAGGTTCGCTTAGAATAGAAATGTACGGAAATTTCTTAGTACACTAATGCGTTGTTGTACTTAAGCATTACAAATGTTCATTTCTTTTCAGAGTTATTTTCAGCCTGAAGTGGACTGTAAAAAAAGGAAAATAATGACAGAAAATTGATAGCTTTATAATTAATAAATGAAAAATTTGGAAATTTGTATTCGTTGTAGGATCAAATTTACTCTCACTCTCACTCAAATGTACACTCTCTCAAGGTATTTTTCTATGTTGAATTGTATTTAAGCTATATTAAATTGTATTAAAGCTGTTTTTCTATAATAATAACGTATTGTACAGATTAGAATACATTTTAAAATCCAACATCACGATTCCCAGTGATGTAGTGTTGCTTTAACAAGTGCACGTAGTTACATACTTGTAATTTGCAAAACTTATTTTTTATTGAAGAAGGGGCAAACGAGCATGCGGCTCACCTGATGGTGACTACCACCGCCCATAAACAACTGCAACACCAGGGGAATTACTGGCGCGTTAGCAACCTTTTAGAAATGAGTAAGCTCTTTTCTTGAACGTTTCTAAGTCGCATCAGTAAAGATTAATAAATAGTTTATATCAGTCCGGAAAAATCGCCGGTGGTAAACAATTCCACGCAGAAGTTGTACAAGGAAGGAAACTCCTAGTAAAATGCACAGTGGTGGATCGCCAAGCATCCAGATGGTGAGGATGGTATTGTGAATTGTGACGTGATGTGCGTTTTTGAAATTTGATGGCTGAAACTAATCCGAAATATTCCTCAGAACTCTCCCCGTGGTAGATGCGATAGAAAACGCAAGGGGATGCAACATCCCTACGCAGCGTCGGTAAATCGAGCCGATCAGAAGGAACTCGGTTGTTGAAGATTCGAACCGCTCTGCGCTGGTTGCGGTCAAGTGGAAGGAGCTAGCACTGGGGTGCCCTGGCCCAGAGATGAGAATAGTCTAGCCATATTCCGTGTGAACCCGAACTTATGCTTTGTAAAGTTGCAAGCGATGTACCGGCATGAAATACTGTCTCGCTCTGCTGAACACGCCAAGCTTTATAGAGGCCAATTTGGCCTTACCCTACAAGTGAACACAAAACTACACACTATTCGATATGTCGACGCAGAGGATTACGCTGCTAGGTGAGGCAGCAAAGGCACTCCCTTTGCTTTTGCCTTGAAACTGAGAAGATATGACAAAGGGGTTCTTTTTAGTGGTAAACTCGCAAACTTTTGTCTTCTGGGGATTGTATCGGACTAGATTTAGTCGCCCCAATCCGAGAATTTGTTCAGAAAAGACTGGACTTCAAACACTAGTTTGTCCCGGTACTCGGCAACGTTTCCCGAGAAATATTGGGACAAAACGGTTTATAAGGCATCACCAGGGCTGTCGTATGCATTGCAATGAATGTTACGAGTTTGCAAAATATCATTGATATGCAGAAGAAACAACGTTGCTCATGCACGCAGCCTTGTGGAACATAAGCCCTAATAGTCTTATAATCAGAGCATGCACCGTCTACTACGACCTTGATGCTCCGATGAGCAAGAAAACTGGTGATGCAATTGCACAATTTCTCGGGCAGCCCATAGAAAGGAAGCTTCGAAAGAAACGCTTTGAGCCAGACCGGATCGAAGGCCTTCACCATGTCTAAACTAACGGCCAATGCCTCTCCCTTGGATTATTCTGTATCCGCTCATCTATGATTCGGGTAGACCAGAAGATCACTAGCTGATCGACCATGACGAAAACCGTATTGGCGATCACTAATTAGCTGGTGAACCTTAAGATACCTTATGAGCTGGCAGTTTACAATGGAATCCATTATTTTGGAGAACAAGGAGGTGATGGCGATAGGCCTATAATTGCACGTGTCTGAGCGGTAGCTTTTTTTAGGGATCGGGGGGACTAAAGCTGTCTTCCATGAATTCGAGACTACGCTTTGGGAGTAGGAGTACCGGAAAAAACGCGTAGAAACCGGTGCCAACTCCGGAGCACACGTCTTCAGCACAAAGAGAGTAATGGAGTCCATTAGGCCCACTCGACTTGCCGCCATCCAGGGAAGTCCGTTTTTGCGAACCGAGCGCTGTGTAAACCGCACATCCAGCGTGGAGCACTCACGCTGCCGGATGATCGGCGGTGTGTTTCCCCGTCATCGAGAGTCGAGTTAGACGCAAAGAGAGAGCCTAAC